AGAGAGAGAGAAATGTGCTAAAATTCGAAATAGCATTTTAAGAAAGCAAAATATGTTATAAAAATTTTTGATTGAAAAAAAAATACTTCATTCTAAATTGTTATACATACCTATTCATATATTTTATATTTATGTGTGTGTGTGTGTGTGTTTGTGTCTGTTTGTCTGTCTGTGTGTGTGTTTGTGTCTGTTTGTCTGTCTGTGTGTGTGTGTGTATGTGTGTGTGTAAGTAAGAAAATATTGTGATAAGAAAACTTGAAGAATTAGCTCATAAAGCATAGAATGTTCGATGTTTTCATATCACAAACAGACACACACATACACCTACACATACATATACATATACATACACACATACACACACATACACATACATACACACATATATCCTATAGCTGCAAACATGTTGTATCATTTCTATTTCAGCTTCCTCCTCCGATTTCATTTAGTTCCTCCTCTTCGAAAAAAAAAACAAAAAGAAAAAGAAAAAACTTTTTCACTTCTTAATTTCATCTCAAAAACGAAAATCGTAAAAGCAAGTCGTGTGCTTTTCCTTTCTTCCGATCATTATCTTTATCCGAATATTTTCTCACAATTGTTATCAGCAATTACCAAAAAGAAGGAATCTGTTTCAAACGATTTCATTTTCATTATATTTCGTTTTTATCCTCTCCAACAGATTATCACTGAATTAATCATCACTGTTATCAGTTCTCCAATAACAACAAGACAATGGCTGAAAATATCAAATTAAAGGGTAAATCTTTGTCTTTTTTTTTTCTTGAATAATTTCATTTATTTTAAATTAAAATTTCAATTATTAAATTTCAAGTAATTATCAGTGTTTTGTAGAATTTCTTCAATATGTGAATTTTTAATGAATATCTAAGAAAAAATCCAAGTAACCAATTTATTAAGATCCACCTTTCATTTCTGATCACTTTACATTATCATTTCAAAACACTGATAAAATTCAATAATACATTTGAAGTTCCTGTGAACAATTATTTCAAATTCCTGTAAAATCCGTTCCAGTAAATGATAATTTTGTACTGTTGAAAAACAAAAAAAAAAAACGAGCAAATTACCCATCAATTTCTCAGATCGGAAATATTATTTACCCATTATTATTTATCTTTCGGTTTTATTTCATGTAAATTACTGAATGTTAGGTCAATCATTTATTAGACAGAATACAGTTAACATTATCAGGAATTATTTTTGGATAAAATACGGGTTGACAATATTAAGAATTATTTCTGGAAGAAGAAGCATTAATATTATTTGATTTACAAGTATAGTTGAGAATAATCATTTATTTCATTTTGATAACATATATTTCGACGATATCTTTGAAATGTAATACATGCTATCTATCATTCATTGGAACTATAATTAATTTTATGTTCAACCCATTATACTGACTGATTCATCCTTCCGGAAACTTGATGCGAAGTGTCCAACCCATTATACTGATTGATTCATCCTTCCGGAAACTTGATGCGAAGTGTCCAACCCATTATACTGATTGGTTCATCTTTCCGGAAACTTAATGTGGAACATCCTTCATACCATGTTATCTTAACAAGCTCAAAATTAAAAACGAACGACATGTCACTTTTATATCTGTTTATAATTTTTCTTAATTCCATTTTCTTCTCTCCTTCAACCTTTTATTTAATTATATTAATAAGAGGAAATACAAATATAGTCTCAATTTCAACCTAATTATTTATTGCAAAAAAAAAAGAAAACTAAATGGCACTTATTTCAGTTGATGAAGAAGAAGAGGAAGAAGAAGAAGAAGATTCAATGATTGATATACGTCATCGTAGATTTGTCTATAAAGTTCAATCTATACAATCACCTGATCGTAAGTTCCATACAGCTTAAACATTTGAATGAATTTAAATTAAAGATGGAAATTTCGTTATCATTTTACGTTTAGCTTATTTTTTTAATTCTTTAAATATTTTAAGAAAATTTTAAATCATCTTCATCAAAGCTATTTTTTTTTGGGGTAATTAAATTAAAAACAACCGGTAAGTGAAAATAGCCGAGATAAAGTTGAAAATTTTTTTCTGTCTAAATTATCTTTTAGCTAACCATCACTTATTTAAATATATGTTAATCATAAAACTTTAAACAGATTTGTCTTGGAAAAAATGCCTTTTTTATTTTTCAGATCCAACAACGTCATTTCATATGACACCACAACATACTTCATCGCTTTCCGCTAGTTCATCAAACATGATGAAAATGAACGAAATGCTATCTCAAACAACTAATGAGTATTTCAATGATGAATCATTGGTTCCAAGAAATACTGAGCTTATTGAATTATCCGTAATAAATAGCATACAACAAAATCCTGTGCCAACAATTACGTTCAATGAACCTGAACGATTACCACTATTGGAAGCTCATCCGGAACAGAGCAATGAACCGATTCAACAATTAATTACTTCATATGAAGGGCAGCAGTTTTCAGATGGAACATCAGTTTATAGCACTGATTATACTTTCAATTCCGAACTCAATACATCTTTTACGATTTCGAAGGATTTCGAAACAAACAAAATTGACATTCTTCATTATGATGAAATGTCTTCCAACATTTTACTGCAAGATAATGGCAAATCGCATATTCAGCATGCACCATTATTTGGTTGTACTGTTGGAAATTTATGCAATTCTGCAATTTCTGGCTTCGATTTACTTGGAACAAATGCTTCTGATAATGTTAATCTAGAGATTACTGATGATCATTGTTCAGGACAACAGATTATTACGGGTTTGACACAAGATGGCGATATAATTATTGATGGTTTAAGCATGCCAATCAGTAAAAAACTGGACAATAGTTGGCAAAATGAATCCAGCATGTTTAGCCGGATGAATATCGATGAAGGATTATCAATATCTCAGATTTTGGATGATTCAAATGGACAGCATCAAAATGTTAAAAAAGCCAATAGCAATGAAGTTGTTATCGGTTTAACTACACGTGGTGAATTCATCATTGCTAATACGACTGCTAATAGTTCACGGGTAAACACACACTTGGTATCGGTCATTATGGGCATAACAGCAAGTGGTCAGATCATTTGTGGTGGTTGCATAGCTGATATCATACCTGAAAGTGTTCTTATGACATGTGAAAAAACTATCGAATCTAATGAGAATCATCATGCAACCTTTGATATTATTGGAAATTTAACAGCAAAAAATGAAAAAGTTTTAATCGGATTAACTGATTCAAATTTCACAAATGCTTACAATGGATCACTTCTTCGAAGGGATTCTTTTTGAATCGATTTTAATCAATTTCAATTAATTCAATCAATTAAAAACAGTATATGCATGGTGCATTAAATGTTTTAAATTACATTTTTGAAATTACACCAATCAAATTCATACTTATGACTCAGTCGTCGAATAAAGTATTATTATCTTGTTATTTCATTCAAATATTGCTATATTTGTATCGAAATTAAACGAAATGAATTGAATAAAATTTATTTGCATTTATTTGTTATACCATCATATTGTTATTATTACAAGATTCTATCCAACAATCTTCCTAAGTTGTAAAAAAAAAAGATAGGAAAAGAATTTAATTTCAAAATTTCAAAAAAAAAATAAAATCGAATAACAGAAAATTTATTCTTCGTCAAAATTTGTTCCTTTTTAAAAATCCATACTAATTGTGCTAATTTCTTCATGGACATTTATCCCTGTATCACAAAATTTTCTAACTGTTTACTTTCAGATCAAAATCATCAATCATTAATTCAAAGACATAGAAATTAGTTTTTGCTAATAAGTTTCATTTATCTCGCACGATTTAAGTATGAATCATTACAAATGGTTTATTACTAATCAAATCAAATCAAATGGTTTGTTATAATCAGAATCAAATGGTTTATTATGAGCATTTCGACAAATTAAATTTAATTTAAAAAATGATATTTTAGTATTCTTGTTTTGTTATCAGAAATTTCTATGATGAAAATGCAATAAATTTTATACTATTTATAGCAAACAAAGATTTGTGAAAAATTATTTTGTTTGATACTATGGTAATAAAATGTTGGAAAAAAGATTAATTTACCAATGAAATTATACCAAAAAAAAAAAAATTTCATCTAAAAGGAGCCGGTTCCTTTTCAAAAAAAATGAATTTAACAAAAATTAGGAAAATTTCATAGTAAAAATAACATTAACATCATACAATGTTCTAATGTTATTCAACTTTAACGAGTCATATTTATTCTAAAAAATCAAAATGAGTTTTTTATTCTAATGATTTTATCATACCTTTTTCTTATCTTCCTCTTCAAAATAAAAAAAAAAAAGAACACCTGAAAATTTGGAAGCTTATTTACTGCTGTAGCTAATGTTCTAAATCATTGAAAAAAAATTTTTTTTTGATAAAATTTTACGATTTTTCAATTTTTTTCAACATAAATGTAATTTGTAATTTAACAATTTGTAAAAACTTTAATAGGATTGAATATTAATGATATTTAAAAGTAATCCATGTTTACATGCATATATATGTATATGTATAACAATCGGCTGCATATAATTTGAATAAACAAACAAACGATAGGGCGGCTTTTAACAGGTTTTGAACAGGATCCGGTTTGATAATAATAAAATGTCAATCCCAGAGTGACTGACTGGTCTTCTGCTAATGATCCATTTCGATTGAAATATAATAATAGCAAACATCATCAGTCGTCCATCACATCATCCACTACCAACCCTCAATTTCCTCTTTTCCTGTCCCAATTTTCCATACATGTTTTCCAGGAAGTAAATTTCTAAATTGAAAATTTTAAATTTTAATAAAAAAAGAATTTCCACGTACATGTACTTACCTTTCCCATCAATTCTAATTACTATCTTCATCATTATCACTGGTAAATTTTTGCTTCTAATTTATTACACTAATTTCATATCTTTGCTATAGTCAGCATTAGATTTTAAAAAATTAAATAACCATTTGTAGCATGAAAATACAGCGTAATTAATTTCCATATAAATAAGTAAGATGGAATCAACATTATTCAAATTTTCACTGGTAGTAATTTGTTAGTGAAATTGGATCAGTTACCGATTACAATCATTCCAGGCTTATCAATCTAATAAAAGACACTACAACTCTCTATCAGATAAGGTGTCGTGCAAAATGTATGCATAGAATGATTTGATTAAATAATTTTTTTAATTGATTTAATTAATTAATATAGATCAGAAATTCCCAGACATTTTTATAGTGTCACGATCGATCAATTCATTATTTCCAATTGTTTTTTTTAGCATGAACAATGTGCTTATCAAATCCAGTCTTATAATAACAAATATTATTTCTATCAAGTTATAAAATTTTATCGAAATTCTTAGAAATTTTCATAGAATAATTTCAAAATGTAATTTACTTGAGATTTTTCTTTTTTTTTTTTTTTTTTTTTTGATTGAGATTGTATAGAGCAAACGAATGGAATTCATTTAAATTATTGCTGGAATTAGAAGAATTTCAGAATTAGGGGAAGAAATGATTACAAATATTTTACTTGAATTTTCCTCATTCAATTAAATTTCATTGAAATTGCTCTTTTTTTCGACATTGCACCATATTTAAAATATTGAAATTATCAAAAAATTATTTAATTAACAATAAACCAATGCCATATGAATTTATAATTTTCAGTGAAAGCAGATGTCGAAATAATAGCTGAAAAGTAAGTTATAATTTTAAATTTGCATTTCAGAATATTTCAGTTCACTTTCATAAATTATTGCTAATTTCTAAATTTTCCGACATACATCCATTGCTTGTTAATCCTGAATTAATTGTAAATTAATTTTACTCATAGGAATAAATTCAATGCGAAGTTTTTATAGTGGTGGAAATTTCCATTCAATCATTAAATATTTAATTTTAAAATGGTTTTCGACAATGGATTAATTATCCACACTTTCCAGAAATGATTCCTGTGGGAATGAGTTAAATCAAAGTTCGGTAGCGATAAATTCTTCACTGTGCGACATTATTAGGACATTAGATGGTCATGAATGGTCACAAGCAGGTAATCTAAACAGATCTGGTCAATATAAAATTTGAAGTAAACATGATTATGATTTTAATCATTTAGTATTTTGTTGTAAAACATTGGCGAATTAATCACTCAAAAAGAAAAACTAACCTTATCCTTTTTACTTCTTTTACAATAAAATTCCATTTTCAATTTTTGTATTTTAAAATAGATTTATTTCTAAATAATGTTTCAGATTTGATAAAATTATTTAAGTGACTTAAAATGATAACGAATGAATTATTTTTTAGAAGAAAATGTGACATCACTGTCCAGTGTAATCAATGGTCATGTGGTTGAGCAAAAAGTGACTTCAACAGAATCAACTAAAACCCATATCAATGATAATTTTGAAGATTTAAGAGGACGGATATCAGTGGAAACACTGGATCTTATCAAAAGACTTCATATGCTATATCTTAATACGGAAAATTCTAATAAGCAATCGACATCCTTATCTTCCGGCGAAAATAAATCAAGAAAGGAAGAAATTATCCATGTTTCAGGCAAGCTAGAAATATTATAACTGTGATATGTAATTGAAATGGAAACTTTTGGCAAAGTTAAACGTATTTGTTTGTTCATAAAGTGTAATATTACATAAATTTTGTCCCTAAATTTTGAAAAAATTTCAATCAATCGATTATCATCTAACATATCTTTACTTTTTATCGTTGATCTGAATAATGATAAGCATATTTGAAGAAGATTCACAAATGGCCATATAATTTTGTTACAGAATTGATATGTGGAAATATTCCACAGAAAATTATTCCTTTGTTTTCATGATATTATAAAGCTGAAATAAATTCACTGTGATTAATACAATATGATAACATGTATTTTACAAAATAAAATAATTTTTGCGAAATTCAAAAAAAAAAAAGACAAGACAAAGAAATTGAAGCAATTCAGATGATATCGAAAATTATCAATTAAAAATATATCAATAAGAAAGGGAAGAGATATGATCTAAAATTTTTATTGGGATTAAACTGAATTTTATATGTAACATGCAAACTAACAGATAAAAGGTGTGAAATTTTAAATGAAAATATTAACAAATATTGAAAATGATATATGAAATTTATCATTCTCTTTTAAGCAAAGGTAGAGAAAAAATTAGGAAATAAGAGGGAGAAAAAAAAAAAGAAGCATGTCTGATCGTAAATGAAAAAAGCGATTAAAAGCAATTTCAAAAAATTACTATATCGTATTCTAAAATTAATTGTGCTTTAATCTATGATTTAATTAATTAAGAATTATTTTAGCAAATTTTTTTTTCATGATATAACTCAAACAAAAATGTCTTCCGTGTTTTTTATAATAAATAACCAAGACATGTTATCCAACAAATCTATTCCTAACACTTTAATTAAATCTGCTAATTAATGAATATGGTTGATTATCTGTTATTAAAAATACAAAAATTACTGCAAATTTGTTTATAAAATAATCTTTTTAATAACTAAATATTCAAATTTTATTTATAAGTTAAATATAAGGAAAATGCATCACTCATTTCTCATTAACAATTTTTCCTAATTATTATTAGAATTTTAAATGAGCCATACAAAGTTAATACATTGATCTGATAATTTCAATCTTAGGCCGCTATAAAGTGCGAAAATTTTAAGGATAATTTTAAATGCATTCAATAATTCATTTTGTTTTTTTGTTTTTTTTTTTTTTTTTTATTAAATTGATTTATTTCGGCAATATACGATGAGATCTTTCTGGAAAAATGTGATGGATGCTGAAGGAAAGAGGCGGTTTTTGACACAATGGAAAAATTGAAAATGGTGAAGGAGCTTACCAGATGAGTTTTCTTCAAATCATTGCAAAAGCACTTTTTCTTTCTTTTTTTTTTTTTTTTTAAATATTTCAATACAATTGATTATCACAAAAATCGATTGGCAATCTGAAATAGCAAAATTCAGAAAAAAATTTTCCGTAGCGCTTCTTTCATATCTCTTTTGCTAATTTATAATGTGGAACAGTAATTTGAAATGCTTATTTCACTTTTTTTTTTCCCCCCCCCCCACCCTCCCCTCCAATTAAACATTTCTTGAAAGCATTCCTAAAGTCGGGAAAAATTATTTATTCTAAGGAAAAAAAAAAGATGATAATAATAAAATAACCTAATCGTAATAAGCATTTCAAATTTTTGATATCTTTTTTTTTCTTCATTCCTTATATTTACTGTAATTTATTACTGGATGATATTATAGAATAGTTTATAATAAATAGGGAGACAAGAAAAAAAATTTTTTTTATTATTTAATCGAATAATTTGCATTCAAATAGATAGATATATATTAATTTTAATTAAAAGAAACAGAAATATTTTGCTAAATTAAATTTTCTTTCTCGTCCAAGTTTGATGATTCCTTTTATAAAGCTATCATCTGCTTTGAAAAAAAAATTTTTTTTTTTCATCGTCATTTTCATGTTAGTTTTAATATTTCACTATTTTAATAAATTTTATTTGCTTAATCCATGCTAACAATTATTTTAAATTAAAACAAAAAGGCAATGAAAAGAAAAGAACCAGAAATAAAAATAGATAAATTGATGAATTTTTATCAGAAATAATTCCAAAATAATTTTTAAAAAATTTTTCTTTTTATTTTACTCCATTTTCTCTTTTCTCAATCATATATATTTATTTATTCGCTTTGACCTTTATTGAATTTCACTTTGTTCAACTCAAACCAACAACAGCTGTTGCTCTTTTACTTCAAACATTCCAATGCATGAAAAAAACGAATTGAATGAGGTGTTTCAAATTTATTGACCAAACCATTTTCAATGAATGATTGCTTTTTGCTACCATCATTGAAGAAGTCATGATTTATGTTTATCGCCAGGTACCAATTCATAACTACCAAGAAAATAGAAGACAATCAGTAAAGGAAGATTGTAATGTGTTGTTATTCGTTTCGTTTGAATATTAACTTTATCCTTCTATCATTTGCAAAGTAAAATTTGTAATTAATGCTGGCAAGCATTATCATCTAATTTCCAAAATTTTTCTTTAATGATAGGATAAAAAGAAAAAAAATCTTTGAAAAACGAAATAAATTTCGTTTTTTTTATTTTCTCTTTAAAAAAAAAANAAAAAAGGAAAAAAATGCGAAAAGATAAACGAATTATAATATCACTAATCTAATGATATATATAAATTTAAAATTTAGAATTCTATATTACCTTTAGTTCATTTATTCTTTGTTCTTATTTTTTTCCTATAAATTTTAACTTATTTATTAATAATTGAAAAAAAAATTTTATATAAATATGAAATTGCATATTACTTTGAAGTTTACATCACATAATCCTGTCCGTATTTCTTTCATATGCACCTGTCTTAATATTTCAATCTTATTTCACCTGCATCTTTTTGTTAACAAAAATAGCC